AAACGGAGATGCCTACTTATGAGGACATAACCTTTATACGCAAGAACCTGGAAAGTTCTGAAGGTGCAGTGCTGTCTAATGCCGCTGGTTCTGTATTAACCCTTCCAACAATTGGGGTGTTGCACAGAGCATTGTGGTGAACATCCAGCAAACAAAAGAAGAACTATGTGGAAGCGGCTAACAGACATGCCGGGCGGCAAGCGGCTGGCGAGGGAGCTCTTCCTCCGAGCGCTCTGCTCAGCTCCCTCGCGCGCTGCAGAGTGAGGCTGGGAGCCGGAATATGACATCATCAACCCGGCTCCCAGCCTCACTCTGCGGCACGCGAGGGAGCTGAGCAGTCATCTCAGAGTAAGTGCTCCCTCGCCAGCAGCCACTGGACCACCAGGAAGAGAGGGAGGGGGTAAATAAAAACAAATAAAAATGTGTTAATGTGAGTGAGTGTGTGTATATGTCTGTGAGTGTGTCTGTTAATGTGTGTGTGTTTGTTAGTGTGTGTGTGTCTGCTAATGAGTGAGTGTGTGTCTGTTAGTGTGTGTTTGACTGTGTGTGTCTGCTAGTGTGTGTCTGCTAATGACTGTATTGTGTTTGTGTGTGTCTGACTGTGTGTCAGTGAGTGTGTGTGTCTGCTGGTGAGAGTGTGTGTGTGTGTGTGTGTCTGTTAGTGTGTGTGTGTGTGTGTGTGTCTGTTAGTGTGTCTGTCTGACTGTGTGTTTGTAAGTGTGAGTGTGTTTGCCTGTGAGTGTGTGTGTCAGTGAGAGTGTGTGTTAATGTGTGTGTTTGTTAGTGTGTGTGTCTGACTGTGTTTGTCTGTTAGTGTGTGTGTGTCAGTGAGTGTGTGTTTGCCTGTGAGTGTGTGTATGTCTGTTAGTGTATGTGTCTGACTGTGTGTGTGTCTGTTAGTGAGTGTGAGTGTTTCTGTTAGCGAATGTGTGTGTGTGTGTGTATTTAGAAGGCTTGGGGGGAGGGCTGTCACGGGGGGGAGGGGGGGCACCTGCCTAGGGCAGCACAAAACCAGGATACACCATGGGGTACATATGAAGGATTATACAGTCGTAGCACACAAGGTTTGCAAAATATACTGTGCAAACTCACTTTGTGTGTCAAAAAGGCAGACAAAAATGCTTATTATCGCAAGCGAAAACATTATCCAACGCTAAGGTTCCAAATATGCCTTTTGAAATACCCTGGGATGTCTTCTTTAAGAAATGGTATGCCTTTATGGTGTAGTCGGAATATGTAGCCTGCTCAAGTGCTTCAATATGGGACACGAATGCATCAAAACCCTCCATGAAAATTCACACTTAAAAATCTGAACTTGTCACGTCTCTTTTACAGCAATAGGCCTATTCCATTTTGAAGAAGCCGTGTAAGGTGAAACGCGTTGTGGATATTATATTGTGTATTTTAATATTTTATATGTAGGTCTTTGGCAGAGCATAGGGGCCTCGACGTGACATACTTGTGTATTAAGGAGGATAGGTAGGTTGGAGCAGCATTATGTAGGGACTTGTAAACAAGCACCAGAATTTTAAATTGAGCCCTACATCTAACTGGAAACCAATGCAGGGATTGACAGAGCGGGGAGGTGTGGGAGGTGCGACCGGATAGGAAAATGAGCCTTGCCGCTGCATTCATTATGGATTGCAGCGGTGCAATCTGGGAACACATAAGACCACTGAGCAGAGCATTGCAGTAGTCCAGGAGAGAGAGAACAAGAGCATGGACGAGCACCTTACCCGCATTCGTGGTTAAATAGGGGCGAATGCTCGCTATGTTTTTGAGATGGAAGCGACAGGATTTGGCAATTGATTGGACATGAGGGGTGAAGGAGAGGTTGGAGTCAAAAAGAACACCCAGGCAGTGAGCCTGCAAGGTAGAGGTGATGGTAGTGCCATTGACTTGGAGGGAGACATAGAAACATAGAATGTGACGGCAGAGAAGAACCATTCAGCCCGTCTAGTCTACCCAATTTTCTAAATACTTAGAGACAGACACGGGAGAAGTAACACTTGAGGGAGTAAACATCAGAAGTTCTGTTTTGGACAGGTTGAGTTTAAGGAAGTGGGCAGCCACCCATTTGGAAATCGAAGAGAGGCAGTCAGAGACACGAGTCAAGATGGGCAGAGACAGAATAGGAGAAGAAAGGTAGATTTGCGTGTCATCTGCATAGAAATGATTATGAAAGCCAAAGGAGCTGATGAGTTTACCAAGGGAGGCAGTGTAGATAGAGAACAGTAGAGGACCAAGGACAGAACTTTGGAGGACGCCGACAGAGTGATTGGGGGGGGAAGAGGCAGGGTCAGAGAAAGAAACACTGAAAGAGCGCTGGGAGAGGTAGGAAGAGCACCAGGAGAGAGCACTATCCTGTGGACCAAAATCACAGAAAATGCGAAGAAGTTGTTGATGATCAACAGTGTCAAAGGCAGCAGAAATATCAAGGAGAATTAGGATAGAGTAATGACTGCGAGATTTAGCAGCAATTGAATCGTTGGATACTTTGGTCACAGCTGTTCCGACAGAATAACCAGAGCAGAATCCAGACTGAAGGGGGTCAAGCAGAGAGTTGGTTTCGAGAAAGTCAGTCAGTCTGGTGTACACAACTCTTTCGAGGATCTTGGAGGCAAATGGCAGTAGCGAGATAGGGCGGTGGTTGGATGGGGAGTTGGGGTCAAGGCTGGGCTTTTTTAGAATTGAGGTTACAGTTGCATGTTTGAAGGGTGATTGGAATGTGCCAGAGGAAAGGGAGAGATTAAAAATTTTAGTGAGGGGAAGAGCAAGAGAGGGAGACATTTTGCAGATGAGATATGAAGGAATAGGATCGAGGGAACAGGTGGTGGGGCGGGAGGACCGGAGCAGAGCAGAAACCTCTTCTGCTGTAGCAGGTGCGAATGAGTGTAGAATGGTGGAGGGAGTGGGGTTGGGTGAAGTAATGGTAGGGGAAGGAGAGAAATTAGCGATCTCCTCTTTGATTGTAGAGATCTTCTCAGTGAAGTGAGATGCAATGTTTGTGGCGGACAAGGTGGTAGAAGGAGGGGGATTAAAAGGGCGATGAAGAGCATAAAAAGTGTGAAATAGGTGTTTGGGTTGATGGGACAGTGTACTTATGAGGGTGTTAAAGTTATTGACTTTTGCAGCGGAAAGAGCCAGGCTGAAGGAGCACAGCATACATTTATAGTGGAGGAAGTCAGATGCAAAGTGAGACTTTCTCCAGCAGCGTTCAGCAGTTCTAGAACATTTTTGGAGATAATGGGTCAGCTTGGTGTGCCAGGGTTGTAATTAGGGGCGCTTGCTGCATTTAACTGTAGGAGGTGCCCTGATGCCGAGTTGAGGATAGAAATGAGTTGTAGAGTGAGGTAGCAGAGTTAGGGCAGGTTAGATTTGAGATGGGTAAAAGGAGAGTATTGAGTTTGGTGGAGAAATATACTCACATCTTACGGATTAACCTTGTTCAAAATGCTATAATACCCCAAAATAGGCCCATCATACGAAAATTCGAACTATAGAAACTGAAATAGCCTTGTCTATTATATAGCATTGTAGCTTTACAGAATAGTGCCAAAGGTATACAATGGGGGTATCGTTATACTCAGCAGATGTAGCTGAACACAATATGGGGTTCTATGAAGGAATAGCACACTCCAGCTTTACGAAATACACATTACAAAAACCTTGTTAAATGTTAATATGCCAAAAAAGAGAAATTACACAATTTTACTCCAATATTTAGCAGAGATTGGCGATGAAATGGCTACGTAAGATGTGTCAAACTAACCTTAGGTAAATAGCCTTTGATGTCTACTTTAAATAAATATATATTTTTGTCCTTTTATTTTGTGACCTATCACTTTCAAAACAAGTTTAAATCCTATACATATTATGTACTCTATAAATCAAGACACATAAATGAATTTATTTTGAATTACTTATGCACACGCTATTATTGCCAAAACTGTGAAAAACAAATGTATTGGGTTTTTTTCTCCTTTTTTTTTTTTTATAATTAATGAACATGTATCTATGTATATGTGACAACAAATTAAAGCCCTTTTTGCCCTCTAAAAACGATATATAATATGTGTTGGTGCAATAAATGACAGAGATGCAAATGGTGTTTGAACACAAACAGCAAAAAATCCTTACGGGTTTAAGGAATTTATGGCTAGGAGTGACAAGGGAGAGTTGAAGGGGGAATGGTTGAGCAGACTCGCCATTTGTCTAATACAATTACCAAAATCCCATCAGCCAGATTTTTAATAATTACATGTAACAGTTGCAAATAGGAACATTGTTATAGTAAAGTAATAATGTAGTAACTAAGATATATGAGCACATTACATAAAGACAAAATAAAAAAAACAAACTTACATAGAAAAAAACAACTTACCAAATAAAGCTTGAGTGCTGCTTCTCAGAGTCTGCTTTCTAGACAAACGATGTTCTAATAAACACAATTCTGAAAAAAAAAATAATAAAAAAAAATTGTATTTTATGTACCCTTTTAATTTGATTATAAACACTATTCAGTAATAGGAAGGGGCACAAAGGGACCAGGTCCCCATATTATTTTACACGGGGGCTTTCTAGACACTGGGCAGAAATTACTGCTAAGTCACTAGATCAGCAGTAGTAGTACTGTGCCAAAACAAGATCTTAAAGTCCCTTGGCGTGCCGGTCCTATTTTGTTTTCTTAAATGAGGTGTGTATGTTTCCATCTTCTGCTCGTGTTATATATGGTGCTGCAGTTGCTTTAGAGCTTTATATTTGTGCGTATGTGTGCGGTTTTATATATTGTATATGATATTTGTGGCAAACCTAGCCACTTTTGATAACATGGACTATATGTGTAAAAAAGTTGCCTGTATTATTCTTGTGACTGCTTGTATTCCCTGGTTGGACCCTGTATATTATTGTATGTTATATTGAATTTGTGTGCTAGCTGCCGAAAGCGGGTAGCATTCAAGTGTCTCGTTTCACGAACAGCACCATTGCGGGCTGTTCGTGAACCGAATGAGGTATCCCTTAATAGCCCACACAGAGAGGGACGTGTGGCGCTCGTTAACCGATTGATGTCCGTACAAGAAAAGGTCTGAATGTGAAGTCCCCCATGTAGTCCCCTACTGTATTACCCCTGCTAAGTCAGTATGGAAATCCCTTGCATGGGGACTTGTATAAATACTGGATGCTGTGAATAAAAACCTCAGTTGACTCCCAGAACTGTGTTTCGTCCGGTTACTGGGGGGATTTGGGACATTGCCTTACTTTTCGGCGCTTGACTGTGGATTACCTTCTGTACCAGCGGAGTTCGTGGGATTTAATATTGCCGCTCCGCTACAATACATATGAATGCAGGCTGTCTATGAGGGCTGCTTGTGGAATTATGTATGTGGATGATATGTTACATAGTGTGTTTGGTGGGGGGAGTCTGATGGGGGTAGGCAGGCTGTTCCATAGGAAGGGAGTCGCCTATGATAAGTCCTGAAAGCGCGAGTTGGCCGTACACGTGCAAGCAGCGGACTGGAGGAGGTCACGGGCAGAGCGGAGGGACCGAGAAGGGGCATACCTATGGATCTGTGAAGTGATATAAGAGGGGCTAGAATTCTTCAATGCTTCATAACAATATTTTTTTCATAATGTGATCTTTTGGGCAATATCACCCTACAGTGTTGTAAGCTTTACTATAGGCAGTATGAAGAAATTTCATAAACAGCCCTAGAAAAGACTTGAGTGAATGAATGAATTGAGTGCACATACCCACTGTGACGAGACCAATCTCGCCACATTGCATTGGAGAAGCCTGGTTGCTCGCCTGCTGCCTTTGGACTATGGCCCCCTGTTAAAAGACATCTTTTTTACCTGCAGAAAAGCTTCATTCGTGCTTTTCTGCCTGGGGTTCAGTAGATTTGTTTGAATGTGTTATACCCCAGATAGGAATCCCATGGAGCCCATTCGTATGAAACTGACTGTAAAGACTTTGGCTCCATGGCGATTAAACTGTATTCGTGTGGTCTGAGCGCCATTCACTTAATAATGTGCGCTCAGACCTGAGCTATCTGGGGATATGTTAAATGTATAGTTTTAATGTAAGGTGTCTTACCTAATGTATTTTAAAGTGTTTTACTGTCTTTGTGTCCCCATGTGCTCAATGGAGTCTGCCTCTATCCCTGGATAATTGGATTACTTTCCCCATTGTCCAGGATAGAGGGCTCTGTAAAACCTGTTTGAGCCAGATAGCCATGCTGCCAGCCAGGGTACAAAAGATACTTTTTACTAACTTTTGAACCCCTGGTCTGATTCATGCCATTTTTTTATATGTTGTTCCCCTGAATGGATTGTTTGTGAATATGTAATTTTATGTGAATGTGATGTATGGTTTTAAAGTTATGAAAGTTGGGTAGAAAGTATGTTTTAACTGTATGTGTAATTGAGTTTCCTCTCAGGATAAGGGGAGGGAATATGTGGGATGTAACTGATGGTTGTTTTATACCTCCCTGTGGGCGGTCCTGTATTTGCAAGATTGTAATAAAAACCAGGCTGGGTGTGCCAGCACCTCAGACCACTGCTTGACCCTCAACACAGAGCCTTGTCTCGTTCTTGTGGGGATTCACTGTATGCTGTTAGAGACTGATTGCCAGGAGTGTAAGCTGATTGTCTGCTTTTCCTGTTCGTCTGCTAGGAGGTGGATGGCTCTTTGTGCTCTGGTGGTTACCGCTTGAGCCTCGTGAGGGGTTGTTGAAGCAAAAGCAGAAGTTAGAGGACCGATATCATTGCCTAACACGACTTCGGAGGGTAATTCTTTCATCACACCCACTTGGACGTTGCACCCCAGTCAAGATTCACTTGTGCAGTAGGAATCCGATACACTGCCCCCCCTGCCACTCTCACAGCAATAGATTTCTCCAGTCTTTCAGAATTATCAATAAGATGTCATTGCACTAGGGTTATGGTAGCGCTGCTGTCTCTTAGGCCCCGTGCCATCTTTCCGTTGACCATTACCAGCTGACAATGGTGTTTTCGATTGTCAGTTATGGTGGATTGGACCAGGAGCGCTTCATATAGGGTGCCCAGCTCCTTGGCGTCCCAGGCAGAGGGTACCAGATAATCTACAAAATGGGCTGCTGCGGGGGGTTGATGGAAGCCAGGGCGAGTCCAATTGGACCTGTGGGCGTCCATGGGGCAATTGTTCTGAATGTGACCCACTTGTTTGCATCGGAAGCAACAGAGTTCGTTGTCAGTCTGTCATGGGTAGCGAGGATTGGAAGCTACCGGTCGGCTGGGGGTTGGTACCTGGTCACTGGTGAGTTTGACGGTACCGCTGGTCGAAGAGGTTGGACCCGTGGTGTGGCCTGTGTGATCTTGCGAGTATCCGCATACTCATCCGCTAACTTGGCAGCCTCCAGTAAGGAGAGGGGTCTGCGGTCTCTCACCCAGTCTTTAATATCTGCCTGGATATGGTCGTAGAACTGTGCCAGGAGTATTAATTGTAGGATGTCATCCGCAGTGGTAATTGGCTACTGTTGACCCAATTAGATGCAGACAGTTGTAATTGGCAGGCCCATTCTGCATAGGAATCCTTGTCTGTTTTGCGTGAGCCTCTGAACTTTTGGCGGTATGACTCCGGGGTCACCGCGTAACGAGCCAGGAGTGCCTCTTTAACCCTCGTGTAGCCGAGGATATCCTGTTCTGTTACGGCCCGGAAAGCATCGGCGGCTTTGCCTGACAACTTCCCAGCCAATATTGAAACCTATTCGTCTGTAGCAACTCTGTGCAGGTTACACTGTTGCTCGAAGTCCGCTAGATAACTATCAATCTCGCAGTCCTTCTCATTAAAGGCTTTAAAGGCACTGAAAGGAATCTTCCTTGTGTCTGCTGTGCTGTGCTCTCTACTTGGGGAGCTTGCTGCTGCCCGCTGGGTTTCAGCCAGCTTAATCTGCAGCTCTATTTCCCTCTTTTGTTTCGCCTCTTCCGCTACAATGTTCATTACCTGTAGAACAATGTCAGCCGTTGGGTTCGGACCGAACCATGCTAATCTCTCCCGAATCTCCTTGTTGGCTGGCAATTCATTCTCCCGAAACGCCGGTGTCTCCATCTCCTGAATGGTCGGTGTTGCTGCAACCAAGTTTTCCCAGTCTAGCTCCATTAACTCAGCAATAATGACCTGCTTTGTTTTGTTGCTAGCAATCCTTCCACGAACCTCCAACAGTTCTTTTAACGTGTTTCATTTAAGCAGGGTGTACCAGCCTTCCATTCACTGTCCCCAGTGTCTGCTTGGATTTTCGGTGCAGAAAAAAAAAAAAGGAAAATCTCGCCGCTGCCAACCAGTTATGACGGTAGTAATCTGTATCACTGTCAAGCATTCCCTTTTTCCCATAAAAGAAAATCTCCCAGTAATCCACAGGAATAAATATCGCTGGTATCACCAAATAATCCACACATGAGCCAAAGCTTAATGCTGGAACAAGACTGATTTACTGGAAGCAACAGGCATTCAATTTATACAATAGCAGACTCCTCCTCCTTTTAACATTTTTAGAAAAGTATTTTCTGCATAACATACAAATATAACAATCACATCCCTGGGTAGCTGAGGATACTGGGAGTCACATATCCAAATTTCACGAATATCCATTCGGTAGTTTCCGTGTCGCATCGTGTGGAAGTTTGACCGGCTCGCCATGTGGTGGTATCCGATTTAGAGTTCCATGAAATCAGCAGCAAGAGCCGGTCTCCGTTCTTCCCTAATTACATGAAAACTACCACACGTATGTTGCAGCTTGTTATATGAGAATGCTCCCCTTGTTCGGTAGATTAAAACTCCTGAATGCTGGTTTGATACGTGGAATGGAAAGTAGTCAGCCGGGACTTCAATAATGACCGGACGTTCGCGTGTTTGCCATGCCGAAAAAAGTTCCAGGCAATTCACGTGTAAGTCCCGCTGACCGCATTCGGGAGATTTAAGAAGCACTCAATTAAGTTGCGGTTTTCTCAACGTTCCAAATTCTGATTGCTACCCAGGGTGGTCGCCGTTCGGAAGACGAACACATTTCCTGAACACATAGTTAAAACGAAACGTCCAAAAGTAGTTAAACAGCAGGGAGAGGATATAACCGAATGCACACAGGTGAGTACAGGAAAATCCTTTACAGATTCTATGGAACTAAAAACGGACACTGTGGCTGTCTTGTAATGTATTTTTTTAAATCTATTATTAAAGGAATATTGGCCCTTAATATTGTGCTTGTGCCATATAGTATTTTTATTATATTATTTTTTTATCTTACCTGGTCATTGAAAACTCTGGATAATCTACTCACCCAAGAATCCTAGGTGGGGATTATACCACCTACGCTATCAATAGTGAGCAGTACATTCCTGCTCACCTATATGTATTATATATATGTATATATGTATTATATATGAGACATACTATGAGTATTATACCTTTTTTAAACCTACTCTTTACTGCTGTATATAGAGCACTATTTGTTTTTATTTCTTTCCCTATACCGAGGACCTATACCACCTACCAACACCTAAACCCATCAGTGGGGGATAAACTGAATACTATTCACTCCTGAGCTGGCCAAAAAGCTCTACAATAGGTGAGTAGGAGGACTACTATTAGCATTACCTTAGTCTTTCCATTGCAGTTTTACACTATTGGAATTTCTGTCTTTTATCTGCATGCTTCCCCATTATCTGGATACCTGACTTCCTCGGATCCTACAAGGCCCACCGACTTTATCTATCCCTTCAATCAAAATTGGACTATTATTATCCACATACTTTTTATCTCGACATTATTAAATTTGTATTCATTTTTATGTAAGAACACATTTTTTTATTATTTTATATCACCCCTTGGTGCGAACTATATTCTGTTTTTGCAACTATTGTCACACAAACACTGCTGAAGCCACCAACCTCCCTTCTTCTGTTCTTCAGTTTATATGAACGCCGTACCGTTCGGTACTTTTCCTTACAAACAGTCACCCAAGATAGCTATCCCATGGAGCCCATTCGTATAACGAAAGACTATGTGAGAGACTTTGGCTCCATGGCGATTGAACAGTATGTATGTGATCTGAGCGCTATTCGGTAATATTGTGTGATCAGATCTAAGCTATCTGGGGATACGTTGCATACTGGGGTTACATTCGGTAGTTTGTAAATTATGTATTTTTCTTTATGCATGTAAAATGGAGTTTGTTCTCTATCCTCGGAGATAATTGAGTTACTTCCCAACACACATATATATAAAAGACTGTTAATGAAAAGTATCCCAGGTAAAAACAAAAAGTACCAGGTTTACAGACTAAGGGTCCAAGGGTGTTCGTATCTCTCTCCCGCCGGCCAGATAGGAGTGAGTCCGGACCTCCTTGTGCTGTATCAACACTGAATACTAGCCGCGTGCGTTCCACTGTGGCTCTGGATGCGTTCCAGTAAGCTGTCTCCTGGGAGCTGGTGTAGGATGCAGTTCAGTAGGTACTTAATATTTCATAATCCCATGAGCCTCTGCACCTGGGAGTCACAGCGTGAGAAGGATACCCGCCTTCTTGACTCCAGCTACAGAAAGCCCGCCAAACCAAAAATTGTCCCCAAAGTATTCCCACAATAACCACCAGGGATCCCCACAATGGTCCCTGTCACGAACATCCT